TTCTCAAAAAAAAAAAAGAGAGAGAGACAGAATCTCACTCTGTTGCCCTTGGTAGAGTGCCATGATGCCATAGCTCACAGAAACCTCAGAATCTTAGGCTCAAGAGCTCCTCTTGCCTCAGCTTCTCATGTAGTTAGACAGGTGCCTGCCCCAATTCCTGGTTTTTTTTTTTTTCTACTTTTAGTAGAGATAGGATCTTGCTCGTGCTCAGGGTTGTCTCAAACTCCTGAGCTAAAGCAAACCACCAGACTTAGCCACCCCTTGCTAAGCCCCTGTGATATTTTTAATCAAAATGATTAAGTAACAGGCAGAGGAAGCAAACAGTGCCTGCTGCAATGTTTTCTCCTTTCTCTCTGGCAAATCAATGAAGCACATGGCAAAGAATTAAAATAGGCAACAATGAAGAGTGATTCAATGGCTATTTTAAGTTAAGAGTCAGGGATGGCCTCTCTCAGTTGGTGACCACTCAGCTGAGATCCTAATTACAGGGAGTGAGCCATGCTAAGGTGAAACATAGGAGCATTCGTAATTAGCTGGACATTGTGGGGGGCACCTATAGTCCCAGCTACTTGGGAGGCTGAGGCAGGAGGATCACTTGAACCCAGGAATTTGAGGTTGCTGTGAGGTAGACTGATGCCACAGCACTCTGGCCTGGGCAACAGAGTGAGACTGTGTCTCAAAAAAAATAAAACAAACAAAAAAGCATTCCATGCAGAGGAAGAGTTAGTACAAAGGCTCTAAAACAAATTGGTTCTGTCCAAGAATGCACTCAGTAAAAAGGAAAAAAAAATGTATATATACACACATATATGTATAAAGATTGGAAGATTCAAGATGCCATTGATGAAAGGATGAATGGCGGCAGACCAGCTCCATGGGCAGGCAATACTTGCAGTCACACAGGGGCCCATACTCAATGGTCTGCTGTTGCCCTCTGGCAATTCTTAATAAGTTTTTGAACAAGGAGCCCTGTATTTTCATTTTGCCTTTGGTCCTACAAATTATGCAGCTGGTCCAGGAGACAGGAAGTATGAATGGATAGAGAGGCAAAGGCTAGATTGCAATAGGGGTTTGTAGGCCAAGTTAAGGAGTTAGAATTAAAAAAAAAAAAAAAGTGAAGGGACACCTTTGAAGGATGTTACACATGGAGAGATATAGTTATAATGGTCCCAGTGGAGAGATGTTGACACCTAAGATAGGGAAGAGGTGGTAGAAATGAAGGGTACTGGTTGGCTCAGTGCCTGTAGCACAGTGGTTATGGTGCCAGCCATATGCACCGAGGCTGACAGTGGCAGGAACCTGTAGTCCCAGCTCCTTGGGAGGCTGAGGCAAGACAATGGCTTCAGCCCAAGAGTTTAGGTTGCTGTGAGCTGTGATGCCACAGCACTCTACCAAGGGTGTAGTGAGACTCTGTCTTGAAAAAAAAAAAAAGAGTGCTGGTTTAAGATATACTTTAGAGCTTGTCAAAAACCAAACTTCAGTTCACTCTAAAGGTAACTTAATTTTAGATGATAAAATGTTAGCTAAATACCACTGCATTGTCCATCAAAGAAAAGCAGCTTACTTATCTCTTGCAAAGTTAAATACCCAGAGAGCCAGAGAGGGATGATGGCAGTTATATCTTTCCTCTCAGCGGCTCCCTTGCCATCCAGTTACCAAAGGCTCAGGGCCCATGGACTTTTTGATAATCACCATGGTAGTGGAGAGTGCCTCAGAAGTGCCTAGCCAAGCTTCTCCAGCTTCAGCCTTTTGCATCTCTAACCTGAGAAGTCATGTCATTGCTGCCTCTGCCTTAATTGGAACTGTACCTGGACTTCACCCTGAAATATCATCTGCGCTACTGCTGCATCCAAGCTCCAAATCGCAGGTCCCCAATTTTATGACTATGGCACAGGTACCCTGTGGTGGATGACTTGTTCACAGCTGTCTCAGAAAGCGCCTGTGCTGTTCCTTAGCTCTGTGTGCTGCTCTTTAACTGTTTCACTAGTATATATGAACCTGAAAGCCTGTCAGGGAAGGGAATTGTATGTTTTATCTTTTGTAACCTCTGTTCAGTGAACGTGTATTGCGGGCGTGCAATAAAAACCTGTTGAGTACAGATAAAACCATTTCATTCATTTTCAGATTTCTGGGGAGAACGGCATAGATAAAAAGTGTGCAGACTGATAAGATACAGCTTTTATTCTCTAGGCTGCATTAATATCCACGACGTGCTCTTAGCTCTCCGGACAAAGAGGAATACTTGGCAGATCCCTCAAGTGGGACTCAAAAGACCGAAAGGAGATGCAGCCTTTCACAAGCACTGGTCCTTGCCCCTTTTAGCATCTTGGTACTTGTAGTTTTGTCCACTATATCTTTACCCGAAAAGCGAGCGCTGAGACCACAACTCCCATCACCCTGCGAGAACCGGAGCCTTCAGAGCGCATCCTCCGCAGCGGGCGCCGGCGCCATTGACCAACCTGCTGGTCGAAGGGCCCGCCTTCCTGAGCCCTAGAGCTTCCACGATTGGTCGGCCTCTCCGCCTCTCATCGGAGGGGGCACCAGGTGAATGAAAGGGGGGCGTGTCGGAGAGCGTAGCTTTTCGGCAGCGCGGCTGGAACCCGCTGGAAGGTAAGAGCTGAGAAGCAGGTTCGAGATACCGCTTTCATTGGTTTGGGGAGAATTCAGGACACCCCGGGAGGCTGGTCCCGGGGGGTGGTTAGCAGGCAGGGTTGCCCTCTTTCAGTAGTCCTCCTTTGGACCGCTCGGCCCTGCAACTCTCGGGAACCCGGCTGTACAAATCAGTGCTCGATGACCAGTTCCTCCCTCCGCTCCAGCGTGGGGAGACAGGGGACGGGCGCGGCGGCAGACCCCTCCCCCCCAGTTCCTGGTATTGGGCTGCCACCCGCGTCATCTAGCCCGCGGTCGGGGCGTCTACGCATTCCGATGGTTGGAAGGTGCCCAGGTGTGAGGGCTCTGCCAGCCTGGGGTAGTGCCCGTCGCAGCGATGGTCACTTTGTCCGCGGGAGGCCACGGGAGGAGCAAGGCCTCGAGCTCCACCCTCAAGCCCAATAGCTGGTCCCAGTGGCCTCTGCAGGTCATCTGGCTCTGGACCGGGGAGGGCACCCCCGTCTTGTGGGCAGTTTAGCGGGCGAACCAAAAATGCCGTTGACCCCGAAATTATTCCGTGGAACTGGAAACTCTTCTCCAGTGTTTTTCCCCTCCAGTCAACTTGTTGGATAAAGGAGTGACTTTCCACGCTCGTCACGGGATGTCCTGGAGTGTTTGGGAAGGCAGGTCGGCTTGCATAGTGGTTTGTGTAGTGGCAACTCAGGAATCAATCGGATCTCGGTTCCAGCCCTAGCTTGGCCTTGTTATCTTTATCTTTAAAATTCAATTTCCTCCTTTGAAAAGGAAAATGTAATGACAGTATCTACTGCGCTGGGTTAATGTGAGGTTAAAATTAATGTACTTGTAAAGTACCTTGCACAGTGTTTCATAAAGAGCAGTGCTCGGTAAATGCTAGCACTTGAAGAGCAGTGGTTTGGCTGGGATTCTCTCAGGGGTATATGGGAGTTTGTATCGCAGGTGATAGTGTTGGCATCTCCTGTCTCCTCCAGGAGGACACTATACTGGGTTCATTTTTCTATTCCTGGCATCTTCCTCATGTCAGGCATTGTATGTAGCAAGTGAGTGTTAAGCTGAACTGGAATGGTGGGAAGGTTGGGAGAGTCCCTGCCAGAGTGTGGTTAAGAGCAGTCTACCCTAAGTGCTGCTTTTTTGGGAGAAGCGGTGATCTTTAGCATGACCTAAGGACCCAGGGCACTGAAGGCAAGTGAGGTTGCTATGAATAAATATTTCAATACTTCAAGTGTTCAATAATATATACCAAGGGCAGGTTTGGGGAAAGTTTTGAAGAAAGTATATGAATAGACTTTTGAAGAGTTGGAAAGTAGACATGACAGAATTAAGAATATTTGTAGGCTCAGTGCCTATAGCTCAACGGCTAGGGTGCCAGCCACATATACTAAAGCTGGTGAGTTCAAATCTAGCCCGGGCCTGCCAAACAACAATGACAACTACAACAACACAAAAATAGCTGGATGTTGTGGTGGAAGCCTATAGTCGCGCTACTTGGGAGGCTGAGGCAAGAGAATCGCTTAAGCCCAAGGGTTTGGGGTTGCTGTGAGCTGTGACACCACAGCATTCTACCCAGGGTGACATAGTGAGACTCGGATAAAAAAAAAAAAGAAAAGAAAAAAGAATATTTGTAATGAGAAAGCCAAAAGCAATGACTTTTAGGTACTATTGCTGGAAGGAAGCATCTTCCAGTGAAAGAGAGAGGTACCTTGGGAAGAGGCCCTGAGATCAGACCTTTTTACAGGTGAAGAAGTGGTATACGGCTGGACTCAGTGGCTCACGCTTATAATCCTAGCATTTTGAAAGGCTGAGACAGGGAGGATCACTTTCGGTCAGGAGATCAGCCTGAGCAAAGTGAAACTCCACCTCTACTAAAAATAGAAAAATTAGCTGGGCATTGTGGTGGGCACCTGTAGTCCCAGCTACTCTGGAGGCTGAGGCAGGAGGATCGCTTGAGCCCGGGAGTGTGAGGTTGCTGTGAGCTATTCTGAGGCCATCACACTCTAGCCCAGGTGACAGAGTAAGACTCTGTCTCAAAAAAAGAAACAAAACAAAACAAACCAGTGGTGCATACTTATATATTTATCTACCTGGCTTGCTAACTCCTTACTTTTCTGCCCAATCTACTTTTTTTCTTAGCTAAAAAAGAAAAAAATACATACACAATGTAAAATGTTGCAACTATATAGAACATTAAGGTTTAAAATGAAAGGGGAAGGTCTCCTCTATACTTTCTACCTAAAGTTCCCACCCCCAAGGTTAACTCCTGTTAGCAATTGTATAACTTTCCAGAAAAAAATTCATATGCGTATCAGGAAAAGTGGAGTCATACTGTACATTTTGTTTTGCATCTTGCTTTTTTTTTCTATTTTTTTTTTTTTTT